TGGCCCCCTGCCCACTTATCCCTGCTCTGCCTCGACCTCTCAGGCCCTTCCAAACACAGGCTGTGATGCCCTCAGGCAGCAATGGTTTCCCAGGGCCTGACTAGCACAGGAAAAGGAAATTCAAAGTTCTGACAAACGAGGCTCTTCCCCTACCCCCAAATTCACCCCTGGCCTTCCCTCCACTGAGGCCATCCTTCATTCTGGGACTCCCAGAATCTCTCCCCACCCAAGACCCCTAGCTCCCCTCCCAGGCCTCGGGACTCCCATCCCTCCGGATTTCCCTTGGACTCCCCCAGGGTTTCTGCCAGCCGGCCCCCTCCCCATACTCAGCCCCCTGGTCTTCCTGGGGATTCCCGCGGCCATGACTCTACCTCCTCTGTGATCATTCCTCTCAAGGTCATTCTGATCAGCCACAAGACCGCTCCCCCCCTAGAGAACACCTAGTCAAGGCTCTGCCTGACTGTTTGGACCTTTCCTTCCCTGCGGGAACCTCCCTAGCTCCCAGTGACCTGCGGTTTCATTGTTCTGTTTGGATCCAGAGGAAAAGACCCGGGACATGGTGTGGGGGGTGGGGAGCTGGCTGTCAGGAAGGGCTTCCTAGCAGGGAGCTATCCCGAGATGGGTGTGGGGCAGGGAGGGTCTCCCTCTTGGAGGGTTTCAGGAGACGCAGGATAACCATTGTTAGAATTTCTCTTTCCAAGTCTGAGATCCTTAAAAGCCTCCGAATCCCTCTCTTAAAATCTCTCCCAGTGAGCCCTGCCTGGTCCCTCCCTAGGATCTTTGGGATCCCCACCATCTTCTCAGCTCCCCACCAGTGCCCAGTTTCTGATCATCTCCCAGACATCCCAGGAACCTTAGCCGAGGACTCCCCAGCCCCTCTACTCATCTTCCAGCACCACTGCACCTCCATATACCTTCTATGCCTTCAGACCAGCCATAAGATACATCCCCCAACTCCTCTCCACGGTCCCCTCAGGTTTCTGAGATGATCTTACCCCCCCCTCCAGGACCTCCCCATCCTTCTAGGAACTCCCTGATTATCTTGGAACAGCCTGAGATACCCCTCAAGAGCCCCTCACTTCTTACGACACAGACTTTCATTTCTTCTGATCGGCTCCAGTCTCTCCCCAAGATCCTGGAGTCCCCCCCAAATGTCCAGCACCCTGAGACTTCCATCCCCTCCAAGCCCCTTTCACTCCTAATTTTCCCAGGACCCTGTGATATCCAGTCCTCCTTCACCCCATCACCTAACCCCCCAATCCATAACAACTCCCCACCCTTTTCCATCCTTCCTTCCCCTCTCAGGTCCCGCCAAGAATCCCTGGCTCTAGACTACCCCGCGTCCTTGGGACCTCTCCCCATTACATTTGACCTTTCACAGGAACTTTATGCATCTCCCCCCACCTCCCTTCCCACACCCTCACTCCGACCCAAACCCATGCGCCAGAGACTTCCCTGTAAAGAGCCTTTCCACAATCCCCTCACTACTCAGGGTATCTATCCCCCCCCTTGTTTTCCTCCGAGCTCTCTCCGCAGTCCACCAGCCTAGCCCTCAGGGCTGATTTTGCCTGGGATCCTCCCCCCCTTCCCTCCCTAATCTCCGTCTTCCTTCTGTATTCCCCAGGATCTTGTGGCCCCATCTTCGGGACCCCCCTTTCTGATCTCCTAATACCTAGATCCCCCACCCCGTCCACACGACCCTTCCCAGGAAGCGCCCCCTCTATAAAGCACCCCATCCCCATCCGGGGTGGCCCTACCAGGCAGAACTTGCATCTTCCATGGGCTTCTGGGGGTGGCACCCAGGGCCCACGGAGCCAAGAGCCTTCTTCAGAGACAGACTGGACGGCAGGAAGGAAGAGATTCTGCAGAGCCAGCCAGGGCCGGAGGAGAGCTAGGGAGGTAGATGGGAGGCGGCAGCCCAGGTGAACTTTAAGGAGGCTAATGAGGGAGGAGGAGCCTGGGGTCCTGGGGTCCGCCCCAAAGGCTTTGATGTCCCCAGGGACAAAGACTGCAGGGGAAGCAATGGGAGACATTAGCAAAAGCTTGGAGGGTCCGGAAGCTTGGAGGTTCTGAGGCCACTCACTGGGCTGCTAATGGGCCCGGGAAGTGCCCCAGCCCTGGGGAAGACGACCCAGCCCAGAATCACACGCTGTGGGAGCCCTCATTTGACAAATGGCAAAACTGAGGCATAGATTGGAGAGGGACTTGTTTAAGGTCACACAGCCAAGCGTAGCTGAAAGAAGGCTCTGTGTGGAAAATGGGCTGAATCCCGGCTGTGCCAGCTCTCACTGGGGTGACCTTGGTCCAGTCCCAGGCCCTCTCTGAGGTTCAGCTTCCTCCTTTGGGCAATAGGATCGGATGAGACAGAGTTAGGAGTCTCTGGCCCCAGGCAATGGCAGAGCCAGGGCCTAAACTGGTCCTTTTGCATCCTCCCATTCAGGCATCTCTAAGGAGGGATCTCAGCGGTGCAGAGACCTGGGGAGAAGAAGGGTGGGGAGATCTCCTCTCCCCATTCCTGCTGGGGTGGAGACCCCATGTTTTTAGTCTTATTGGGTGATCTGAGCATAGAACCTCCATAGCCGGGAGGGGCCTCAGAACAGAGGATGGCGGGCCCGGGAGAAGGCCATAGAGATCACCTAAGGACTTGTCTCTACTCTCGCTCCAGCCTTAACTGACTTACCCAGCTGGGTGGGAGGGAGACGAAGGGAGGATTCAGAGGGCAGCAGGAGTCACCTCCTTTCTGGGGATCCCCCCCCTGCCAAAGTCCGCAGGAGCTGGCAGGAGCCCAGAAGGAGTCCTGTCGGGGAAGCCCCTGCCCTTCCACCTGGTACTCTCTGGAGGACAGGCTCTGAGGCTCTGGCTTCTCTACCCCCACCTGGAGCCCCCAGCACAGCCTGGAGGGAGCCTCTGTGCTTGCAGGGGCTGTGGGGGCCTAGCCCCAGGGGGCCTCTGATAGTTAACTCCATGTAGTCACTCCGGTGGGGATGTCCAGAGCTTCCTCCCTCTGGACTCTCCCTCTCTGGCTTCTAGGGACAGGAGAATGGGGGAGCGCTCCCCAACCACCAGCTGTGTATGTGCAGCAGCAGCTTGAGACAAGGGGAAGAGCTGTGGTCTGGGGTCAGGAGGCCTGGCATCTGTACCGCTGACTTCTCCTACGAGCTTGGGCAGGCCACTGGCCTCAGTTTCTTTCTCTGTAAAACGAGGGAGTAGAAGCTCCCCAAAGGGCCTTCCCTCCCCACCATCCACTGGTCCATGATTCTCTAGGGGAGATGGAGTCCGCTGCCAGTTCACACCACGCCCCTCACACTCTGCATTGCGTCCAGCCATCCAGACATGCCTCCTCCATGAAGCTTTCCCAGATTTCGCCATTTGTGAGAGTGCTCTCCCGTCTCATAGGATTGTGCCATCCTGGTTCTAGAGGCCTCAGAGGTTGCCAGTCCAAGCCCCTCATTTTACATATGAGGAAAACTGAGGCCCAGAGGGAAGCCATTTGCCACCCAGGACAGGGCAGAGGTGACCTTTGGTTTACCAGATGGGAGCTAGTTCAGGGGGCATCCTAAGCCCTCCCATCTTCAGGGAATTTTCTTCCAACTCTGTAGCAGCTCGTTTCCAAGGCCCCATCTACCAGCCTGCCCCCTTCTTCCTCCCAGACCCAAATCCATTAAAGGGCTGAGGGGGGGAAGGAACAAAGCTAATGGCCAGGGCAAGCAGGGAGGCACAGATGGGCCATTGGATTTCCCATTTCACTGATTCATGAAGGCTTCCTTCGCAAATGGACAGAGGCCATTACCCATCCTGAGACTAGGGCCCCTGGGGCCGCTCAGAGTCTAGCCCTGCAGAGCTGTGTGACTGGGGGGGGGGGCGCGCACTTCAATGTAGGCCACTCAGCCAGGCCTGCTGGTTTCTTGCCTTCCTGCCCCCACCTCCCAGGGCCTGGCCTGCAGGGTTGGGGTCTGCTAGGTGGAAGGAAGTTTGGTACAATGGACAGAACGCTTGGGCTGCAGGGCCTGAGTTTGAAGCCTGGCTCTGCCCCTCTCCAGGCCTCAGTTTCCCCACCTGTAAAACAAAGGAGTTGGACAAGATGTTCTAACGCTATAAAAATGCGCTCAGCTCTCGGTGATGTCACTTGTCATCAGAGAAACTGGCGCCTGATACAAAGCAGCCAGTATCTAGGTGCCCTGGGAGGGTGGTGCTGCAGGCCTGGTCAGGCCCCATCAGGCGGCTGTGGCCAGGGCTGAGTGTCCAGAGGGGCGACCAGGAGGCCGAGAGAGACCTAGTCCTGTGTGGGGATAAGATCAGAGAGAGTGGCTGGGGACAAGAGCTAGGACAGCCTGGCTCATTGGCCAGGACCCTGGGGTCAAAGCCCCACCTCCGATGCTCACCATCACAGGCGAGCCACTTAAATTTCTCTGTACCTCAGTTTCCTCATCTGCAAAATGGATGACCTCTACGGCCCCTTTCTAATTCTAAATCTATGATTCTAGAATCCCCCTGAAGAAGAGAAAGAAGGCTCAAAAGACCCAGAAAGCCAGATGAGGCAGCTGTGGGGCCACAGAGGGAAGGCTGGACCTGAGGTCAGGAAAACCTGAGGTCAATCCCCACCTTACATGCTTACTTGCCATATGACCTTGGACAAGTCACCTAACTGCTACATGGCTCAGTTTTCTCATCTGTAAAATGGGGATCATAATAGCACCTACCTCCCAGGATTGCTGTGAGGATCAAATAAAGTAGCAAGGAGAAAGAGCTTTGCAAACCTTAGAAGGCTTAATAAATGTCGGGGGGGGCAGGCAGGGCGAAGTTGCGAAGAGATAGATTTAGGCTTAAAATCAGGAAAAGGTCCTAATATCAAGAACTGACCCGAAAGGGAGTGGGTCTGTCTCAGGAGGGAGGTAGTGAGTTCCCCATCACTGCTTAGTGATGTGATAGAGGGCAGGCTGTGACACTCCCTGTTCTGAGGCCCCTCCCAGCTCTGACACCCCCTGTTCTGAGACCCTCCCAGCCCTGACATCCCCTGTTCTGAGACCCTCCCAGCCCTGACATCCCCTGTTCTGACAGCATCCATGGGAGATTTTGTGAGTGTCTGATATGTTCAGTGGTGAGAACCCCAGGCCAAGCCAGAAGGGTCTTAGATAAACTGCGGCTTCTCCCCACCCCCAAAATTAAACAGCTGGGAAGCTAAGCCCCATAAGGAGCCCCGACTTGGCATAAAGCCTGGCACAGAGGAAGTGCTTAATAAATGTTTTCCTCTCCAGTCTCCACCCCAGGAAAGTGGGGTTGAGCTCAGACCAGGCTTCATTGTATTCAGAGCTCCAGGCTGGGAGATGACAGCTGTAGATAAGCTGGGCCCCTGCCCTCAGGGAGCTTAGATTCTCCAAGGCTTCCTCGCTGCTCCCCTTAAGAAAATTGTTTCTCCTCCAAAGTCCCAGAGCACTTGGGCCAGCTCTCTCCCCAGGCCCAGATACTCCCAATTTCTGAGTACTGGTGGCATCCCCCTCTCTCCCTTTCTGTCTCGGTATCCTCAGCCCTAATCACATAGGTAGGTCAAGTTAACATTGTTGGCTGACTGTGAGGTCTGAGGAAGGAAAGGAGGAACGTTGACAGAGGGAAGGGGGTGGAGTTGGTCTTTACCAGCTGGGCTAGAGTTCTGTCGAGGGGCCTGGGGTCTCAGGGACCTCTTAAGGCCAGCACCCTTGTGGCTTCCCCTTGTCTCAAGGATCCATAGAAACTCCTTTCTATAGCATTTCAAGCCCTTCCCCAGCAGCCCACCTCTTGCCTTTGTAGCTTTACCACATAGTGGTACCCTTCCCCTACAGCTTTCTTACTGTTCTTCATACACAGCCCTACTTTTCCCATCTCCCAGCCTTTGCAGCAGCTGTCCCCTATGCCAGGAGTTCCTTCCCTCTCTACCATTACCTGTTGGAATACCCTTCAGATTTCAGCTACACCAGTGCCTTCCCCACCAAAATCACCAAGCATCTAGCCAGTCAGTAAGCATTTATTAAACACCTACTATGTGCCAGGCACTTTGCTAAGTGTAATTTTAAAAAAATCTATTCATAGGTACTGATAGCTATTCCTGGTTTCTCCCCCAGCTTGAGTGGAAGCTTCTAGAGGGAAGGAGATGTTTCACTTTTGTCTTTGAATGGTCAGTGCTTAGCACAGTGGCTGGAATACAATATAGAAAGAGGTCATTAAAGGGTGATTCATCTTGGTTAAGCACGAATTGTGAGAACCAGAATCTGAACCCAGATCCTATCTCTTGACCCCTGTCGGATGAGGTTGAGGTCACTCCTCATCTGGCCTCAAGCAGGACACTAGGGGAGTCTGCTCCCCGGTCCTGGGCCCCGGACTCCAAGTGACCAAAGCTGCTTTTCTCACTCATCACCAATGGCCAACTTCATGCAGCCCCTTCCCTCCATTCTCAGGCCCCAAGAGCTGGACTTGGTTTTGAAGCCTGTCTGAGACACTGCCGCTCACCAGGAAGGCACCCTTGCGAGTCCCATTCCCTCTCTGAGCCTCAGTTTCCTCCTCTGTAAAATGAGGGGATTGGACGAGATGGGGGCCTCCACGTGGGTCCTGAGCACAGCCCTCTGGGTCAATCAATCTGGTTATAGCTTAGGAAGGTGTCCCTGCCTCTTCCTGCCCTGACAACACGTTCCCCCCCCCCCCCACACACACAAGTCAAGACATTTCCCTTGTGAAGAAGACGAGAGATGAGTTTTTTTTTTTTAAAGCAATCAGGGTTAAGTGACTTGCCTAGGGTCACACAGCTAGTAAGTGTCTGAGGCTGGATTTGAACTCAGGTGCTCTTGACTGCAGGGCAAGTACTTTATCCATCGAGCCACCTTGCCTTGGGTCTTAATCATCTTGGCTTCTTCCTCCATAGGACCTTGTAGGTAAATTCTGACTGGATTGTGTGCGGAGCCCATGGCCTATTATCCAGAGCTTGGTATCCAGAGCCTAGAGCCTAGTGTCCTTCCTGCCCATCGAGTTCCCTCGACCTAGCAGAGCTGGCTTGGGGGAGAATGGTGTCTAGGGCACACAATGGGCTGTGAAATTTGAAAGGAAATGGTGCATTTGCCCTTTTCCAGGCCCCTGGGGCTCCCCCGGGGAGGTGCTGGCCAGGCTGGTTCCTGCTCCTGGGGAGAGGGAGGGGCAGGGGAATGTTTGTAGGCCTGAAGCTCCGCTTTGGCTAAAGCTGCCCTTCTCCTCACCCCTCGGGCCCGTCTGTCAGTCTTCTCCACCTCTCATCTGACTCGCAAGGCAAAAAGGCTTGGGGGGGAGCCCCTCCCTAATCCTGCCCAACCTCAGTGATCTAGGACCCCAGACGTACCTCCCATCCCTGTGACGAAAGACAGAGAGGGAGATGGAGAGAGACAGACATAGTGAGAGCGAGGGAGAGACAGAGACAGACAGAGACAGAAAAAGAGTTAGAGAAAAAGAGGACAGAGAGACAGAGAGAGAGAAGCGATGAAAGAGACAAGGAAAAAGAGAGAGACATAGAGACAGAGACAGAAAAAGAAACACAGGAGAGAGAGAGAAGGAGGGAGAGAGAGAGAGAGAGACAGAGAGAGAGGGAGAGAGAGAGAGAGAGAGAGAGAGAGAGAGAGAGAGAGACAGAGAGAGTGAGAGAGAGAAAGGAGGGAGAGAGAACCAGCTTCTTCTATCTGACGGGAATTGACTGGGGCACAAGTTTGGACCTCAGACCATTGAGAAGTCCTTGAAGACCCCCGCTCCTCCCACCCGCAGGAGACAGCTTCAAGTCAGCTCTTTGACCTCCAGGAAGACGTCTGTAGTCTCTGGACCTGGGGGAAGGGGAATGTCTTGCCAGTGAAAAGCCTGAAATTTAGATTCCTGAGTCCCGGCCCTGCAACAGCTCACAGCAAGTCAGAGCCAGATGCCCTCTTTGGCATCGTCCACCCCACCCTCATTTGACCTGGGAGGAGACGAGATTTCCCCAAGGCTGAGCCGCCAGTCAGCGCTGGAGCCAGGATTCAGGTGGACAAGCATTCATTATGTGCAAGAATGTGCTAAAGTGCTGGGGATACAAAAAAGGCAAAGCCTGGGTCCCTGCCCTCAGGGGAGCTCACATTCTAGTCGGGGAGACCCCATGTGAGCAGGAGAACATGCGGCATTGGGGTGCAGCCTGTGAGAAGGCGCAGAAATGGATGATGGTGTCATGTGGGGGAGAACAGCCAGGAGGCCGGTGTAGTTGGCCGCCAGGAGACAGGAAAGGTAGGAAGGGGCTGGGTTGTGATGAGCTTTAAGAGCCAGACAGGATTTTGTGTTTAATCCTAGAGGCAACAGATAGCCACTGGAGTTCACAGAGCAGGGGAGCTAGTTGGTCAGACCCACGCTTTGTTCCTATTCAGTTGTCTTCCATTGTGTTTGACCCTTCCTGACCCCACTGGAGGTTTTCTTGGCAGAGATACTGGCACAGTTTGCCATTTCATTCTCCAGCTCATTTTACAGATGAGGAAACTGAGGCAAATGGGGTGAAGCGACTTGCCCACACAGCTAGGAAGTGTCTGGGGTCAGATTTGAATTTAGGGAGATGAGTCTTCCTGACTCCAGGCCCGGCGCTCTGTCTACTGCGTGTAATAAGGCCAGGAGCTGTCCTAAGGGACAGAGGTATAAAGAAAGACTCTCTCAGGAGACCTGAGTTGAATGGAAGGTCACTTTGGCAGCTGAGTGGAAGGCGGCCTGGGGAGAGCAGAGACGGAGGGCCAGCGCAGTGGCCTTGGCCATGCCTTCTCACTCCAGCCCCAGGACTCTCTGGGATGCTGCCGGCCCGTCTGGGGGCCTCAGTTTCCCCTGTTGCCTCTGCACGCCCAGAGCCAGTCATCTCGTCCCTTGGCCTCTCAGTTCTCCATCAGTGAGGGCTGGGATTCCGTCCTCTCCTAGAATTGGCTAACCCAGGAGCTGGGGGCTTGCTCTCCGAGGGGACCTCCCTTCTCCAACCAGCCCTTGGGCTCTTCCCCAGGCCCCATCAGAGCCCCCAAGGCTCCCACTCCTTTCTTCCCAGACCCCCCCAACCCTGCTCTGACTCCCAGGGGACTCATTTTGAAACCAAAGGAGCTTGGGATGAGTGTCTGAAGATGGTGATTAAGCCTCTGGGCAGGCTTTTAGCAGTTGGAGCTGATGAGTTAACAGCTTTATGGCCTGCTCTGAGGTCTTTTATGGCAGGAGAACTCCCTCCCCTCGGAGGGCTGCCCAGTCTGCAGTGACTTTCAGAGATGGCAGAAATAGGATTCTAGTTTTAAATGGTACTTAGAGTTACATTACCTTTCTAACACACTCATACTCTCACACACAAACGTACCTGTATGTTGTATACATAAATCTGTCTGTCTGTCGATCTATCTATGCATCTGTGGATACATGTATGTATGTATGTGTCTATCTACTTTCTATCTAATTGTTAGCACAGGCAGTAGAGAATGGATCCATACTTTGTTGCATCTCAGCTGCAGAGGCTGCATTGAGGGCGCAATCATAAGCAAACAGAAAATCATGCACCAACACTCCCTCCACTCTGGTCTTGTCTCGTGGCATTTTCAAGTTGAAGAATTTACCATCATAGTGGTAGCTGGCCTTGATGCCACGTTCATCCTCATTGAAAGCATTTGACAATATGGCTGAAAACATCCTGCTAAAAAGCTTGGGAGCAGGCACCCAGCCTTGTTTCACTCCATTGGTGCCTGGGAAAGCACGAGAGCATCGTCCATTATCTAGAACCGGGGCAATCATGCCATCAACGTCATGAATCGATGAACTTCTCCCGGCAACCACATTGTGCCATGGTCTTCCACAAGCCCTCACAGCTAACAATATCAAAGGCCTTGGTCAGATCAACAGACTTTATATACATACCTGTGCTCTGCTCCTAGAACTTCTCCTGAAGTTATCAGGCAGCAAACACCATATCTACCATTCCTTGGCGCTTTCTGAAGCTGCCCTGGCTCTCAGGTAGATGGCCATCTTCCAGGTGAAGGATCAGCCTATTAACAAGGGCTCTGGCAAGAATCTGGCCAGCAATGACTGAGAGAGAGGTTCCCACAGGACAATCTAT